GTGAGTATGAATTTATTACACTGTACAAACACTTTAGCTAAAGCTCTTAAATTAAATCATGACAGCTCTTTCTTGACCATGTGAATAGTGATTCTATCTCTAGTTAAAGCACTGGCCTTTTCCAGACCTTTCAACAACATCTATCAGTCTTCTTCAGTTGAAGACCTTTGAGAAACTGAACTGTGCTCCTTAATAATTCAAATACACAAAGCCCAGAGCTGCTTAGTGCTCAGAGCTGCAGCTGATCAATCTGCAGGAACATATTAGCATGGTGGTGTCACTGTGTTGTTGTGAAATAGTACACATCATCACATGGTTACAAAGGGAAGAGAACAGTGAGAACAGACAGAGTGGTGCTGTCAGTCTTAAAGCTCAGAGACACACACGGTATAACATGGATGTAACTTACATTCGGCTTGCTTCTGGGTTTTCTATTTCAGGCTCCTCGTTTTCTCTGACGAAACAAACACAGCAGAAGTCACGACGTGCTGCACTGACATGTTAATTACAGCTAATACCACAGAGACTCAGGTGGAATCATAGATGAGCATTAGCACTGATGATAAAGTGACATGCTAACTAAAAAGCATCATCAGTGTCGTGTGTTGTAGCTTTAGCTCCCGGGTTACTGTTACACTGACTGGGGTCATAATTAGTGTATTTTAATAAATTATCATTAATGAGCTAACCCTGTTAAAATAACCCTTAACCATGGTACTACACTGGAGCAGCAGATGCTGGTGAAGCAGCAGAAATGTCAGCTACCTGCTCATCCTGACGCTGACTTAGCAAGCTAATACAGCAGAGACTAGCAGCCCGCCGGCCTCATTTCTACTATTATTCATGCACAACTCAGGTTCCAAATTAATATTTGTTTTAATCAACCAATGCTTGTTGTGCACTTTGACTAAATGTACTGATAGACACAACAGAGCTGTAGCATCCACACAGCTGGCAGCAGCAGCTAGCTAGCTATGTCTTTCAGTGTGTCTCCTAGCATCCCCGGCATCCCCGGCATCCCCGGCTCTCTCCTCTGAGCCTCCCTACCTATCGGGTCCTCCTACGGGGCTGGTCTCGGCCTGTGGTGGCGCACACTCACAGTCCTCCTTCTCGTCGGAATTCATACGAGACTTTCTCCTCAGTGGTTTGTTATCCTGCTGCTGTGTGTGACTGTACCGGGTCCTTCACGGGCCGATCACCGCTTCAACAACGCGATGGTTCAAGTACGAGCGGCAGCGACGGAGGGTTTTTATTCAAAACTTCATTCACGGCCTTCCCACTGCAGGCTCTTCACCCTGCCTCAGGTCCGCAGCCATCTTGACTTCACCATCAACCCACGTCCCACAATGCACTGCGTTCTAGCGACAAGACCTGGTGCAGTGGATCAGGATGCTGGAAGGAACTGGACTCTTATTCATCATGATACCACACCATACATAAATATGTAAATATTTTTAAAAAATTAATAAATACATGTACTTATGTATGTATGTATGTATGTATGTATGTATGTATGTATGTATGTATGTATGTATGTATGTGTGTACATATTAAATATATAATATATATATACATGTAAATTAGCTTGAAGGTATAAAAGCCATAGGTTTAGGATATATATATATATATATATATATATATTATATATATATATTATCCTAAACCTATACATATACATATATATATATATATATATATATCCTAAACCTATGGCTTTTATACCTTCAAGCTAATTTACATGTGCAGTCCATTGGCAGGCCATACCAGAAAAGGCAGGCCATACATAGCTATACAGAAAGAAGAACACAACAAATATTAAGTCAACAAGACATAGTTAAAAACTATACACAAAGGTGCAGAACAAAACTATACACAACAGCACAGTGCATTGGATGTCAGTGCAGAGCTGAGCAGTTTTTAACAGCCTCTGTAAGGTAGTTTTTACAGAGCTGACAGAGCTGCAGCTCCTCACACCATCACAGTCTGTTCCTCTGATCTGTGGCTGTTACAGAGAAAACTGATGACCAATGCAGAGCAGTGAAATGGAACAATACAGTCTCATATAGAGGATATTCTGGAGGATCTAATAGAATTTACTGAGTGTATACAAATTCAGATAATGGGGGAGGAGCCATACCATTCAAAATGTTAGAAACCAAAAAATTGCTCAGTAAATTATTTCTCCACTTCTGTTGTGCTATTTTGTCCACACCCCACACATCATCATGACATCACATATGACAGCAGTGGAGAACACTGCATCAGTGAAACAGTGAGGACCCTGTACAAGAGTTTGAATGAGGACCAGAAACAGACACCATCAGCTGTCTGTGACGACCAGAACCAGAACAATGCTGGGCAGAGGTCCTGTAAACAGCCTGGTGCAGTATGTTCATATTCTGTACCACAACCGAGACCTGCTTCCTTTGTCACACTGACTTCAGACACATTTCAAATTAAGACATAGTAAAACAACTGGGGTATTCTCTATCTATTATTACTGTTATTGATTTATTGCATGAACAGACAGGCAGACAGACAAGCAGGCCCATGAGTTCAGAATAAAATGCATGACTAGAGTTGACCAGTACATGTTTCCTGTGAGCTTCACACACTGTACACTGCTCTCAGGGTGTAAGGGTTATTCTGAGCCACACACTCTTTATCAGACAATGACAGTATGCTGACCACTCTCTCATAGAGCCACATGATATATTGTTAATATTACCTGATCTCAGGTCAATAAAAACGTCATCTGCTGATCTGAAAGTCTTATTTGTAGTACCAGAAAGTATATTTGAGGGCTTTGTGAAATATTGTTGTCAGTACATAGTTTGTCCAGCAGAGAGCGCCGCAGACAACATGGAAAAAAATTAATTCACATCAGTGATAGATAGATAGATAGATAGATAGATAGATAGATAGATAGATAGATAGATAGATAGATAGATAGATAGATAGATAGATAGATAGATAGATAGATAGAAACTTTATTGGTGAGGAGTGATACAGCTGAACAGACAGTTCACTGTTTAACATCTTAAACAGTTAAACCTTATCTTTGAATCAGCTCTTAAATAACAACATCTGAAAGATCCTCAGCTTGAAATGAAATGAAATGTGTTTATAATCAAATATTATGATTAATATCAGTATCAACTTCAATAATACTAGTTGATAATGAAGAAAAGGATGCAGAATTTTTAAAGATCCAGAGTTTATGAAACTAGAGTTTAAAGGAAAGCGTCAGTGTTCGTTATTTACAATGATCCCTACATCCTCATTACAACCACTGTAAAAGTGAAGAGTTTAAAAAGCTTTAAGACAAACTGAACTGTACACAAAAACAGTAAAGCAGTGCCACAGTGAGAAGAAGCAGTGATGAATAGAAATAGGACATATGAGGTAATAAGCCAGGCAGAGGACACTGGAGTTTTAAATAGGATAAAATCTGCTGTGTTGGTGACAGCTCACAAAGAATGATATTATCCAATGAAAAGTAACTGTACAGATGACAGGCTTTATTGAAGAGAGTAAAACATTAGTACATGCAATAAGGAACAAAAGATCAAACCTTGAGCACACACCTGGAACAGCCCAGTACAGCTGGAGTCATGTGGTGACCACTGCCCAGCTCCACCAGAGGCCTCCAAAGTAAAGTGTGTTGAGCATCCTGCCCCTCAGTGAGGGCCAGTCTTAAGGCCACTGCTGTACAACTGTTCATCTTGATGAATTTAGACTTCATCCAGGTGAGGTAAGAGTATAAGACATTTTATTATTCAAAGGAGTCTACAAAGGTCCAGGTTAAGACAAGTACACTAGTGACAAGGCTGACATATAGAGATTATATTATATTATATAGAGATTATTACATATACACATTATTTAATGCTACAGTTTGCAGTGCTCATGGTGCTCTGTCAGTTGCTCAACAGGTGTATTTGTCAAGTGTCTGGGAATTCATGATAAAAGAAAATACAGACATTATTTTAAAGTTGTTTAGTCAGAGGTCAAGGTCATGATCTAGAAAATTAACTATTCATCATCAGAGAAACTCTGACACTACACCTATACATTCAAAGTAGCTCCTATGGCGGGAAAGCAGCGGAACTGGCAACCCTTGCTGTTAGCTTTGCACACCACCCCAGACTGAGCGGCGACCTGACGGAGCAGAGCGGAGCCACGACGAGCACCATCACCGACTGCTGCTTGAGAAGCTTTTGATTAAGTAAGGTTTTGAATAACTTCGACATTTAGTTTTTATATATATTTAAAATAACCGAACAGAAATCAATAATATATATTTTATGCTTCTTTTCTGTTGATGCCGAGTTAGCTAATTTTAGTCAGGGTCGACTGTGAGTCAGTTTTCGTCCATGACCATCACCTTCAAACCTGAGCTATTACTAATAACCTAAACTAAATTATTACAAATAACTCGCATCTAATAATATTGCATATTATTTCAGTTATCTTAGTGTATGCGGTCGAATTGAAGCAACAGTGACCAGTCCCGCTTGTGAGTCAGTCGAGATTAGCCACCTTGCTAGCTAAGCAATGTTAGCAGTGGTGTTAGCTTAGTATAGCTTGCTGTGGTAAAGTTGGTTGTACTGGGTCGAGTTTTTTTTTTAAGGGTAATTTAAGTACGAACCAAGAAGCGGGTGCGTATATTACAGATTTAATATCCCCCGTAGTTGCGTCGTCCACCGGTTAAATTTGTTGCTTTAGCTAAGGATAGCATCAGTTTGAAAAGCCACGAGGCTGGTAGTCCACGTTGTATCCACGCGGTCATCGACAAGGTCAACTTTACTATTATACCATCACAAGTGATTAATTGTTTTATTAAATATTCATGTGTACTTTTGTTGTAACTAATTAACACGATTTAATGTGTTTCAGTGGTTCATTGTAAAGTACTTATGTAGGATTAATATAACAGTGACATGTCTAAAGTAACTTATGCTGTTCAATATAATGAATTTTTTTTTAGGAACACTAAAATGGACGAGTGGGAAGAAGAGGTAAGTTAGTTCACTGATGTCATTTGTTAATTATCTGCAGCTTATGAGCAGACAACACCTGCTTTACCTTGACCTTGTTTACAGGAAACTTCTACTAGTTCTGTCACACTAACCAGCCACGCCTCAAGTCAAGGTAAGTTAACTCCTTTGTGTGTAAATTATCCAGTGATGATTTCTTTCTTGTAGTATCTGCTATAATCATTTCTAACAGTGGATATAAAGGGTGCAGGCAATTAGGATGATTGAACTGAAAATAATGCATTATGGGAAATGAGCCATTTGTTTCTAGGCTCCCAGAGAGACTTCAGGAACAGTGATGGTGAATTTGGAAGGGTTAAGTGTGGAGAAGAAAATGCAGTGGTTATCTCTGCCTTAGAGGACATTGATAACCAGTGCTTCTCTGTCTCTGCAGGTCGGGGTGGAAGAGGCCGAGGCAGACGAGGAGGATTTTCAAGTTCATTCTCCTCAGGTGTCTATTCATCTTATATTATTAATCAAGTTGTAAAATGTTAGTGTCTGATCATTTTATACAAGACTCTTTATTGTTAAAATGCCGCTTTAGTCTGTAAAAAGTCTGTTATTGAGAGGCCAATGTATGACTGAAAACTCAGAAATGTTGGTCATAGCTTCATAAACATTTAGCTTTGATCCAAATAAAATATGAATTATACTGAATCCATCCCTGGGCAACTAAGTATGCAAAACTGAGGTGTTTAGTCCTATTAACCAGTTACTGTTGCCTGTCACTTAACTGAATCTACACTGAAAAAACAGCGTTGCTGCTTCCAAACAGTCAGAACCAGCAGGCCTGTGGATTTGAAATGAGACCCCCCAGTAAGAGTTTAAACTGATGCAGATGTTGACCTCCACTGTAGAGGGAAGCTAACCTTTGACCTCTGTTTGTAGGTGGTGATGAGCATGGACACGGTAAGTACTGATAGTATGACAGTAACAGGAGCCAGTTATCAGAGGCTCAGTCCTTATTGGTGCTGATCCTCCTCTCTTCTTTACAGATGGTGACAGCTGGAACAACACAGTAGGAGAAAGAGGTGGATTCAGAGGCAGAGGAGGTCGAGGTGAGACATGAACTGTGATTAACTCTCCCACCACACATACTTAATGTGTTTGTGTGAACCTGAACCAGATGTTAAATACAGAGGAACAAAAACTTATTTGTGAAAATATCTAATTTGTGTGGCAAATTAGATATTTGAAAACTTGAGTTGAATATCAAACACTGGTCCCATGTAGAGTGTAAAAGATTGTAACTCTTCGTGGAGGAAGCTCTAGTCAGATTATAGTTACAAAAGATTCAAACACTTTAAAACATTCAGAACATTTCAAACCACAAACATCACAGGACGCATCCTACATGAGACAGTTAAGATGGGGATAGGTGTGGGACAGGGACAAAACATAAAATCTTCTGAACAGTGTGAAGATGAAAAACTGCATCAGCAGATTATGGTGGGGTCACCTGATAGATTTCAAATACAACCGGTAGATAAATACTTCATTAATACTGAAGGAAATCCAGGCATCCAGTAGCTCACATGACACAAACAGCACAGCTGTGATTTGGTCGGCTTCGAACCTACAACCAAATCACAGCTCTAAAACCCACTACACACCAAATTTAAAAATCATAAACATAAAAGGTAAAGAACAGAATAAAAGTAGGCATAAACAATTCAATAGAAAAAAATCAGATACAAATGTAGTGTGCATGGAACTGAATCCTTGGAAGAGGTCATTTTCTGATGATGTGTTTGTTTCATCAGGTCGCGGCAGAGGATTTGGTGGAATGGATTGCATTGAATTCGGTGGTAATGTTTCCTTATGTTGGTTCTGAGACACTTCAGTCAGGTGAAAGACATAAAGACATGTCAGCTGACTGTGTGAACTGTCTATTCTACAGGAGGAGATGATGGAGTGTGTGAAAATGGCAGGTGTTCTTTACCTAAGTACAAAAATAAAACCAGGTTTCAGTTGTAGTTTGAGGTTGTAATTTGTTCCACTGCATGTGAATGTGTGTGTTTGAATACTGTGTGTGTGTCAACAGGGTTTAGAGGAGGAAGCCGAGGAGTACGAGGCAGCAGGGGAGGACGAGGCTTCAGACAAGGTATTAAACTCATCCCTGTAACAGTGAATCAAGATAGATTTGAAGTTATGTAATGTGAGGTGTGAGGAGGTGGTGACTGATGGTTGATGTGTTCAAGGTGGAGACCAGGGAGGCAGAGGAGGCTTTGGAGGAGGTAAATGAGGAACCATTAGTCGTTTATTTGAAGTGTAATTTATTTCATGTGTGTAAATGTGTTAATGTGTAAATGTGTGGTTGCAGGTTACAGAGGAAAAGATGAACAGATCTTTGCTCGAGGTGACAGCAGCAGTTATTTTTATAATTAACTGAATGATTCATTTTGGATGTTGTACATGTCACTGATGTGAATGACATGTGTTTGCGATGTAGGAGAAGATAAAGATCCAGATAAGAAGGATGGGAACGATGGTGACAGTAAGTTAATGAACCTGTGTCTGTAACCATGTCCATCAGTGCTGATTAAACCTGCATCTCCTGAAGACCTTCTGTTCTGACCCTCAGGACCAAAGGTCACCTACGTCCCTCCAACTCTCCCTGAGGATGAAGACTCCATCTTTGCCCACTATGAGTCAGGCATCAATTTCAACAAGTATGACGACATTCTGGTTGACGTCAGTGGAACCAACCCACCACAGGCCATCATGGTGAGAAGAGCTAAATATATGTTATTCATCAGCTACAGGATTCACAGATTCTCTATTAGAAGATTAGCTGGTTTCTAAGACAAAATGTAAAGATGCTTTGGTAAATAAATCTTCTTATGTCTGTCAGAGTTGATGATAAATCGATAAGCTTAACAAAGTTGGATAAAAATGATTAATGCTAGCAGCCCTGACAGTAACTTGTCTGTAAGTCTAAACATGCAGCAAGTGTTAGCGTTATAAACTGGTGTGAGTGTTGTGGCCTTAAAGGGAAAGTACACACATTAACAGACTGACGTCATTCAGCTGAATTAAAACAGTCACAGCACTCAGTGTTTTAACCTGACTCGGCAGAAAGAATTCTCCTCTATGTCATGAAACTATGAATCAAACCTCTGTGTTTGGATGGTGCAAACTTTGTTGTGGTGAAGATATTTAAACTTGTGTCTGACCTGTAGACTGAGCTGATTCCCTGGTCTAGTAACCTGAACTAGTGAATGACTTTCATCATCATGACAACACGTGAAGCTGTGTGTGTTTTTGATGTGTTGCTTTCAGACCTTTGCTGAGGCAGCACTGTGTGAGTCCCTGAGTAAAAACGTCAGTAAATCTGGTTACGTGAAGCCGACTCCTGTGCAGAAGCACGGCATCCCCATCATCTCTGCCGGCAGAGATCTCATGGCCTGTGCCCAGACTGGATCTGGTAAAACGGTGAGCCGAGAGACAATCAACACTTGACCTGCAGGTTTGTGTGTAGGCGTGGTTTAAATGTGTCTTCTTCCTCCTCCAGGCTGCGTTCCTGTTGCCCATCCTACAGCAGCTGATGGCAGACGGCGTGGCAGCCAGTCAGTTCAGTGAACTGCAGGAGCCTGAAGCAATCATCGTCGCTCCAACCAGGGAGCTCATCAACCAGATCTACCTGGAGGCCAGGAAGTTCGCCTTTGGGTGAGTTTACACTGAGTTTAAACTCTGTAATCTCACAGAGAGATGTGACATACACCATACAGTGAAAGATGAGTGAAGCAGGCTGTAATCTCAGCCTCTTGTCAACGCTGTAGGACCTGTGTGCGCCCAGTGGTGGTTTATGGTGGAGTCAGCACTGGACACCAGATCAGGGAAATATGCAGAGGATGCAACGTCCTGTGTGGAACTCCAGGGAGACTACTGGATGTGATTGGACGAGGAAAGGTAAGTGAACTCAGAGCTTTCAGTTACTGCATGTTCACAGTGTTTAGTTGAATTATGATACGTGTGTGTGTGTGTGTGTGCGCACTTCAGGTGGGGCTGCACAAGCTGCGCTACCTGGTGCTGGATGAGGCTGACCGCATGCTGGATATGGGCTTTGAGCCTGACATGCGCCGCCTGGTGGGCTCCCCTGGGATGCCCTCCAAAGAGAATCGTCAGACCCTGATGTTCAGCGCAACCTACCCCGAGGACATCCAGAGGTCTGACCCCTGACCTCACAGCTTTAACCCATTTATACCGGATGCTGCGCAGCGCAACATTGCCCCTCCCGCCGGTTGCTGCGTAGCGCAGCATTGTTGATTCCTCGTCATTTTCATCACGCATGCAGCATATAAATATGTAAAATATGTATAAATATATCATGAAAATAACGAGGAATCAACAATGCTGCTACGCAGCAACCGGCGGGAGGGGCAATGTTGCGCTACGCAGCAACCGGTGGGAGGGGCAATGTTGCGCTGTGCAGCATCCGGTATGAATGGGTTAACTGCTTTATTGTGGACACCTGACATGGATGTTGTATGTTTACAGGATGGCAGCTGACTTCCTCAAGACCGACTACCTGTTCTTAGCTGTGGGCGTAGTGGGTGGAGCCTGCAGTGATGTGGAGCAGAAGTTTATTGAAGTAACTAAGTTCTCCAAGAGGGAGCAGCTTCTTGACATCCTGAAGACAACAGGTAAGTTTGGATAATACTTTAATAATAGTTTAATGAACATCTGTAAGAGTAATTCTAAATAAAAGCAGGTTTTCTGAAGACTAACAGGTTGTTTACAGTACTGCAGCACATTTGTTTGTCTAGTTAGACGTGTAGAAACTTATGGATTCAATGATACATGAACAAGCTTGTAATTAATGTGATCAAGTTACTGGAGACATCACTACACAGCTTCATGTATCTTTAAACACAGACCTCTGCAGCTCCTGTAAACGCTGAATAATGAACTGAGCTCCAACTATAGTTAAAACTTTAACACAGTGGAATATGAGCTGGTGCTGGGTCGCTCACAGTCCTGGTCTTGGTTGCAGGAACGGAGCGCACCATGGTGTTTGTGGAGACCAAGAGACAGGCTGATTTTATTGCCACATTCTTGTGCCAGGAGAAGGTTCCAACTACCAGCATCCATGGGTAAGTGATTTTTACTTACTTTACATACCTTTACTTTTACTTTTAATGCAGATGGTGATATTTTCAGGGACCCCTGTTCCTCTTAGGACTAGTGCAATTAATGACTTGTTCAGGGATCTTTGTTCCCCTTAGTTTTAATGTAGATGGTGATGTGTTCAGGGACCCATGATCCTCTCAGCCTTAGCTCAGATGGTCATGTGTTGTGCTCTCTATCAGAGACCGGGAGCAGCGGGAACGGGAGCAGGCCCTGGCAGACTTCCGCGCTGGGAAATGTCCAGTCCTGGTGGCAACCTCTGTTGCTGCCCGTGGTCTGGATATTCCAGATGTTCAGCATGTGGTGAACTTTGACCTCCCCAACAACATAGACGAATACGTCCACCGTATTGGGAGAACTGGCCGCTGTGGAAACACTGGAAGGGCGGTGTCATTCTATGACCCAGACGCTGATGGACAGCTGGCTGGGTCCCTTGTCAGCATCCTGTCCAAGGTAGCATGAGACCACCTGTATGATCAGCACTCACACTGAGCCCTCACTTCACTGTTGAGCTGTGATATTCATACTCAGTCTGCACATGCACCTGGAGGAGGAGTCCCTCAACTGCAGGAAGGTGTAGGACACAGTCAGTCCTCATAATTTCAGTTGTTGGTTTCATTGACAGGCCCAGCAGGAAGTGCCCTCCTGGTTAGAGGAGTGTGTGTTCAGCGGCTCCAGTAGCTCAGGTGTGAACCCCTCCAGGAGGACCTTTGCGTCCACAGACTCCAGGAAGGTAACAGGGTCCCCTCTTCTGGTCTATAGTCTGTCCTCATTGTGTGTCCTTACTTCGCATCCTCTGTCCTCACTGTCTCTCCTGTCCTCACTCTGTCATCTCTGTCCTTAGGGTCCACAGGGCAGCTCCTTTCAGGACAGCAGTATGACGAGCCAGCCGGCTGTTCCTGCTGCAGCTGATGATGAAGACTGGGAGTAGAGGAGCATGGGAGGAACATTAGAGGAATAATAGAGCAGCACACACACCAACATTGACCTGAGTTGTTTTCTTTTCAGGTGTTCATCTTGTTGTAGTTTTATCACAGTGGTTTTGTTTGAAAGAAAATATTTGTACAAAGAGGAAAAAGTAGTCCCAGGCTGGACGATGGTGAAAAGTCAAGTGAGATGTTAAACAGGATGAAACCAGATCTTCAGTGAGATTTGTCAGCTTTACCTTCACTGACCAGAGTATTTTTTTTTTTTTTTTTAATTATTTTAATCATTTAACAAAAGTCAAAACTAAAGACTCATATTTGAAATATATTTTGTTTCCAACCAGGAGAAAGATCACCAATAAATAAAATAAAGCAAATCCTGTATTTATTGTCCTGTGTTTAGGGTGTGACAGCTCGGTACCTGGTTAATGAGTCTGATCATCGTCCTTTAAAGTTCATGTAAAGATCGAAGTGTATCATTGCTGCCTGATTAAAAGGACTGAATGTTGATGAACTGAGTCTGAGGTCAGTTACTGAATTATTCATCACATCTTAATTATTTTTAAATGGCATATCATCAATACATCACTACTAAACACTGAATTTCATTTGAAACCAGTAAACTAGACAAAGAACTCAGGCTCCTCTGAACTGGCTGCAACAGTCAGTGAGACGTGCACTGTAGTAATGACGAAATGAAATGAACATAAAATGTGGTCAGCCATGTTGAACTATTTCTAATCGATGGCCATCACATAACTAGACTGATCTGATTCTGTTAATGGCCACTTTCACTCGGATTAAAATACTGAATACAAAACTTATTTAAAACATTCCATTTTGCCTTAATGTTTATTAAACATAAATATATAAACAAATGGTTATTAAACATTAATGACAAAACAAAACCTCTAAAATAAGACACATAATAGAAAGGATATGGATAATTCATAAATAAATAAAATATAACTAAAAGACAATGAATTAAAAAATCTGTATTTTCTACCCACTACCGTACACATCTTTCCTGGTCTGTAGCTCCACCCACTCCACGCTGTGTCATCGCGACAGGAGCAGTTTGATTGGTTAGCTTCATGTTTCCCGTTTCAAACTTGTGTTGAAACCGGAACCAGTAGAAAACAAATTAAGCCGTTCATGGAGAAAACACTTCAGGCCTAAAAGCTGAAGAAGAAAGGGGCCCCTTTGTTTGACAGCAACGGAGGAGCAGGGTCTGGACAGGACGTGGAGTTAGCCTCGTCAAGTAGTTTGTGAAGGTGTTAACTATGAAAGCGACAGCTAAACATAAGGTAAGAACCATAGACTGTAGATAAAAAGGTAAGAACGACAACAGTCAAAGTTAGTAACGTCAGATAACTACCATAGCTAACTAGCTCTTTGTCAGTAGGTTAACGGTGACACCAGCTGAAATGTTAAACTGGTTTTATCTGCTGTCTGGCGGCGATATGAGACACATTAGTATCAGTTAATGTCATCAGATGTGATCAGTACTAATACTTAAATCAGTGATCTGCTGTACAGAAGAAAGAAGAAGAAAATCTAAAGTTACACTATAGATTACACAGCTGTAGTTTTTTGTTTCAGTTTATTTGTCGGTTCTTGTAATAATAGTCTGTTAGTATGAAGTGTATCTGACAGACTCATGAACACTATTAAATGAAGATTATATCAACAGAACTCATTGCACTTTACATTCGATACAGTAATATAATGAACTTGTTCAGTGGCAGTGTCTGACGCTGTTGTCAATGTGAGCTCAGATTATGGGATGCAGGGCTGATGTGAAGGGAAGAAGGTTTACAATCCTTCACCTGAAATAACCATCTCTATCAGGGACACATCATCTACAGTCTGGACGGATATCTGACCTGGCTCCAGGGCTGAAACACAAAATATGGCCATTGAACATGTTTAGATAAATGATCATATTTGACACCGGTGGTATAACATGCAGCGTAAAGACAGCACATGTAAAGGTGTTGTATCAGATTCATGCCACAGCTCACACAATGACAGGGACAGAACTGTCTCACTGACAAGAGACTGTAGACTGAGCAGATGTTTCGGACTGAAGGCTGACCAGATGTTTCAGACTGAAGGCTGACCAGATGTTCCAGGCTGTAGAGTGACCAGATGTTTCAGACTGAAGGCTGACCAGATGTTCCAGACTGTAGACTGACCAGATGTTTCAGACTAAAGGCTGACCAGATGTCTCAGGCTGGACAATGACCAGATGTTTCAGACTGAAGGCTGACCAGATGTTCCAGACTGTAGACTGACCAGATGTTACAGACTGTTGAGCAGATGTTTGGTTGTATCTGACAGGTGGTGACATCAGGGAGGCTGACAGGGGGAGGCAGAGTGCAGCTGACCAGAAAACAGTGAGTACACCTGTATTCACTTCTTACTGTAGATACTCTGTGTGTTTCTGTTAACACCCTCTCACTTTTCCTTCTATCTTGTCCTGTTAGAGTGAGTCCACATCCTGGACCAGCAGCCGGCCCTGAACCAGCCTACTCTCTATACTCCACAGACTCTGAAGACCAGGTACTGAAGTGAGCAGCAGCAGACAGTACAGAAGAAAACAGCCTCATGCAGTATGAATCAAACTAAAACAGAATACCAACATGTGTCAGTGTCACCTACACAACAACAGTGTGAATGAATGAACAGACAGTAACTGTGACACAACAGGAAGTCCTTTAGAGGGACATGAAGTGACTGGTGCTCAGTTGTGTCTCTGTCCTCTCAGGTCACCAACCTCCATCAGGGTCTGGACCGCTGTGCTGCCTTGCTCAGTGGCATCCTTCAGGCTGATGAGGCAGGTAGAGGAGTTTAACATCATGCTCATCAATACAGCAAGTAATGCTGAACAATCAGCTTATTGAGCAATTGATTAGTTGACTGAGGTGTGTGTGTGTGTGTGTGTGTGTGTGTGTGTGTGTGTGTGTGTGTGTGTGTGTGTGTGTGTGTGTGTGTGTGTGTGTGTGTGTGTGTGTGTGTATGCGTGTGCGTGTGTTAAAGCCCCGGCCAGCCTTCCTAGAGCAGTGACAGGTGATGCAGCCAGATCCAGACCATCCACTTCAGTGGGGAAGAAGGCCCTCAAGAAACCACAGAGAAAGACAGGTGTGTGTGTGTGTGTGTGTGTGTGTGTGTGTGTGTGTGTCAGTAACTGTGTCAGTAACTGTGTCCCTCATCTCCCTCCAGTCCAGAAGAATCCTCAGTCCTGTCAGCGAGGACCAGGCACTGTGACTCCAAGACCAGGACCTCGGTCTCCAGCTGCTCACTCAGGAGTGAAGCTGCATCCGCCTCAGAGGCTGGTTCAGACCCTGCTGCAATCCCACCCCCCTCCATCACACAGTCAAAGATTTCAGTACCTCTCCACCACCACCCCTCCATCCAAGTCCCAGACATCCACCCCTCCATCCAAGTCCCAGACCTCCACTCTTCCATCCAAGTCCCAGACCTCCATCCCTCCATCCAAGTCCCAGACCTTTGTCCCTCCACTTCAGCCTCAGGCCTCCGTCCTCCTATCTGTGGTCCAGTCCTCTTCTCACTCAGGCCAGCTGCCTGTCCATCAGCCTGACTTCCTGTCTGAAGCTCTGCCCACACACTGTGACACAGAGTGTGATGTAGAAGAGGAGGAGGAGTCTGTTCCCGTCAGAGACATTGATCCCCAGAGCACACACACACTCTCTCACATACACACCTGTACCAGGAAGATGTCAAACACACACCTGGATCCTGGACCGGCTGATGAAGTCCTTCAGGACTCAGAGAGCAGGGAGACCTGCAGACCAGAGACCTGCAGACCAGAGACCTGCAGACCAGAGACCTGCAGAGCAGAGACAGTCCAGTATCTGATGGGAGAACTGAAGGCTCTGATCGCTGGACGAGGTAACCTGTCTGTCTCTCACCTGCCCTATTTCCACACAGGTAGAGCTGAGGCTGATCACATGACTCAGTCTGAGGGTTCAGTCACATGACTGTTACATGACACTTGACCAATAGAAAACAACATCCTGAATCTAGAAATTTTCTTGTTGTTGTTGTTGTTGTTGTTTGTTTCTGTGGTTAAATCCAGATGTTGGCAGCTGGTCCTGACAGGTGTCAGTCACACACGCTGTGACATCTGTGTGTGAGGCTGAGAGACACAGTGAGACCAGTTTTCAGCTCAGCTGTCGTCATGGATATGACCAGTTCAGAGATCTCAGTCCTGTAGACCAGACAGACCACATATATACAGACCGTATGTGTGTGTGTGTGCAGGCAGTGTAGCAGAGAGGCTGCTGAGTCATCTGGAGCAGACGGTGTCCTCACCACTGATAAACATCCAGACTGAGACTGATCCACACCTGAACCAGAACATCCAGGTCCACAGGTAAAACACACACACACACACACACACACACACACAGACACACACACACACATCAATACCTGGTCTCTGTGACGACTCTCTCTCTCTCTCTCTCTCTGTGTGCTGCGTAAGTGATGCTTCGGAACCAGCAGTTAAAGGACAAAGAGAGACACAAGAACATGGAGATGCTCTGTAACTCAGAAGGTTGTGTGTGTGTGTGTGTGTCTGCGTGTGTGTGTGTGTGTGTGTGTGTGTGTCTGTGTGTATGCAGCTGGCGATAGAATGTGTGTATTTGTGTGGTGTGAATAATGTGAGTTGTGTGTCTCCACAGTGACGACCCTGCAGCAGGAGCTCACTGCTGCTCAGTCCAGACTACAGGAAGTCCGGGATGACCTGGCAGAGCTACGGAGTGCCCTGCAGGACACACAGAGCCAGCTGAGAGACAGAGAGGCAGAGAACACAGTCATCAGGACAGGTTCAGACTCTCTGAGACCTGCTGAGTCTGGATCAGTCCTGATCAGTCCACAGACCTTCACCAGTTTACCAGTGAACACATGATGAAGCTCTGTGGACTAAACCTGAGTCAGACTGGATCCTAACAGACAATAATTATAATCAATAATAATTAATCAGTTTAAAGTTTAAGAGTCACATCAACATTTTAATAAATAAATGCAGACACCAGAGGTCACATCACCTGTTATACATTAATATGCGTGTGTGTGTGCAGAGCTGGAAGCAGTCAGAAGCAGGTTGGCGGAGAGCGAGCGAGAGAAGAGTGAGTTAGCCTCACTCGTCCAACGAAGACTGGAGGAGACAGGAAACCTGAACAGGTACGTGTGTGTGTGTGTGTGTGTGTGTGTGTGTGTGTGTGTTGAAGTGTAAAATATTAGTGATTGCTGTGAGTGCAGCAGGTGGTTGTGAGGTCATTAAGCCTCGCCCCCTCCTCTGTGTTTCAGGATCCTTCAGAACCAGGACTCTTCAGGTTCTCCTACACTTGTTGACAGTTCAGGATCAGACACAAACCAGCAGCAGAGACCAGCAGAGACCACCCCTGAATGCATCGAGTACTTGAGGTCTCTGGACCAGCTGGGTCCCACACACAGTGAGCCAAAGACTCTGATCCCAGTCCACCTGAGAGACACAAGGTCACACAAACCTGCAGAGACCTCAGTTTGTCACCTAAACCCTCACCTGGATCCATCATGGCAGCCTGAGAGGGAGCAAGTCCGACTGCAGGACTGCACTGTGTCCCAGTGTGACATAGAGTCTGTGTGGTCTGACTGGACCATGAGGTCCGGGTCCACCTTTGACACCAGAGATGAGGCAGCATTCAGAGACGGTCTGGCAGCTCTGGATGCCAGTATAGCCAGTCTGCAGAAGACCATCCAACTGGACCTGAAGAGGTGATCCAGACCTAGCTGGATCTGGACCTGAGGAGGTTATCCAGGTTCAGCTCCTCTGTGCATGGTGTTTTTCTCTGTGTGTTTTTGATCATTTATAATGTAAAGTGATATTTAACAAATGTGAAATAAAGCATTTTATGTATATACAGTATATATGTATGTATATTTTCCTTGGTTGTCATGGAGACAGGAGAAAAAAAATCAGTCTCTTTTTTTATGAAACAGTAAAAACAGGTTTTAATAAAAGTATCAAAGAGCTTTCAGAGACAGTGAGTCAGTTTTGGCACATAGTGTTTAGACCTCAGTGATGTCATTATGAGTCTACAGTATGTTTCATAATAAGAGTACAAACACATTCATCTGCTCTAACATAAATAATAACAGATTTCAAAATAAAAGCAACAATAAACAAACACATTCCCTTTGGTAGATCAAGACCAGCAGCAGTTCTCAGTCTCAGTGCAGCAGGATCAGGATCAGGCCACATGGAGAGGACAGCCTCCACCACACACACCTCAGCTGTTGTACACACACACACACACACACAATACCACATGATCCAACAGCCCTTAATAGTGCAAACCAGCAGCAGCAGTGAACTAATAGATCAAGGATGTAAATGCAGGAATACACTGAAGGAAGTGTGGGTGTGTGTGTGTGGAGATTAGAAGGTGACACAGTTCATCCAGGACGCTAACAGTCTACATCTCCAGATGTTCACCTGCAGAACTGAACACCCGAGCTGTTACAATGTAACAGGCCCTGTTCAGACCAGAACAGGTGTGAACAAGCTCTGATGTTCAGTGTTTGTGTTGTAAACAGCAGATTTAAAGAAGCAGTCCAACATTCACAGTCCTACAGAGAGTCTGCAAACTCCACCCACCACTGACAAAATCAGTTACTGATTTGTTCAGTTTGTTTTCTGAGCTTCGGTGCAGAGACTCTGCAGCTCTGGACTGGGTCTGCACAACCTTAGCATAAAGACTACGAGCAGGTGGAAACTGCCTTTCTCGATCAAAAGTAAAATATGACACCTGCCAAACCAGTCACCCCAACTGCATTACCACTGCAGTCTCATAATGCAATGAAAAAGAAAATGGAGTTGGGGCGTCGAGTGGCGTAGTGGTCTAAGCAGGCGCCCCATGTGTAGAGGCTACAGTCCTCGCTGCAGTTGGCCCCGGTTCGAATCCCGCATTGGACGGCCCTTTACTGCATGTCATTCCCCCTCTCTCTGCCTCCCCATTTCCTGTCTCTCTATAATGTCCTGTCCAATAAAGGCACAAAAGCCCAAAAAAATATACTAAGAAAAAAAAGAAAAAGAAAATGGAGGAGCTGGTGAGTTTCAGCGTTAGCTATGAAATCAGTCTGTAGTATGACGAACATTTGACCGTTTGCCAGATTTCTCTAACCCCAGTCTCAGTTGGAAGATAGCTTAAGCGTCAGCTCCCTCTGCTGATGAAAACCATGAGATGTGGTTGAAAGCTCAAACAAAGCTGTGTGTGGACTTTGAGTTAGGAATATGTGACCAAATCATGAACATGACCTGGATGTCTGCAGCAAGGACAGGGAAAAACAATCAGCTGTCAAACCCAAAGTGTCAGAGTGACCCCTCCCTCCCTGTTTGTGGGGGATGACCCTGTGTCTATGAGCCATGGTACAGGTGGACGGTGCTGGCCACAGCCAGCTTGTGTCTGCTGTCACTCAGCTCCTCTGCTGTGTCTCCAAAGCCGTGGTAGTGTCCATACTGCTGGAAGTCCCCGAGGTCTGCCCCCATCAGCCCTAACCAGGCCGGCCGCTGGGACACACAGCTGCTGGGGCTCCCAGTCAAATGCAGGGAGCCGCACATGTCAGCGGAGGAGTGCTGAGTCGGACCAGCTGCTGGCAGCTGATTGACTGGCTCATCCTGAGAGTGATGATGATGATGATGGCCGTTGGTGAAGGCTTTGGAGTCATCATCTGCTTTATGAAAACATTTATCAATAAGTCTCTTCATCACTAACTCATCTTCATCATGAACCCATCTTCATCAGTGAGAACATGTTATAATCACAGTCTCACCTGAGCTCAGCTCCTGTCCTGACTCCACGTTCATGCTCTCCACTTCCTCACCTGCACTGATGTGCATCTGCAGCAGCACATCTGGAGGAGACAGACAGCCACATGTGAACGACATCATCCAGATGTGCACAGTCAGAGCCAATCAGATCGTTAGTTTATTAACAGTCTCTTACTGTCTGCTCTCTTGGCTTTCTTCGCGTGTCCAGACTCCACTGCCGTCAGCAGCCTCTTCCTGCTCAGCAGGCTCTGACCACTGGCGGTGTCTCCACCCACACGGAGTGTGTTCAGCTGCTGCAGCTGCTTCTGGGCGTTAGAGATGAAGCGGGAACAGTCGAAGAAGCCGTGGGCGTGGGCCAGGTCGGCCGCTGTCTGCCCACTGGCGTTCCTTAAACTGTGGAAGAGGAGGGAGGAGTGAGACAACTGCTTCCAGTGAGACGTCACAGTGTCTCATCACTGACTGACTCTGACATTAGAGGAAGAGGCTACATGTTGCAGGGAGAGATGATCATGACCAATCAACAGGCTCCAGAGAGAGCTGACATCATCAGTCAGCTGATCAATACATCAACATAAATCACTTCAGCTATTCTGGTCCTGACAAACTCCCTCTGCAACACTTTGATCAATGAATCTGATCCTACTGCTTCTACCAGATCATAGAATAAACACATCACACATTAAAGATAAGATTATAGTTTATCTTACAATGACAGATATCTTTAATTAATTAATTCAGTGTAATTATTTAAAACTTTTACAGCCATCAGATAAAAGTGCTAACATCAGAAGGTTTATTTTCTACATCATAAAAAAGTAAAGATCATTTGTCCTGTTAACTGACTAATTATTAAATCCTCACTCTGAGTCTGACATAAAATGAAATGTCTCCTCACTAATAACCTAATTTAGAGATTTATCTTCCTCAACACCAGACAAAGTGAAAATCACCAAAAACAATGATTTATTCAATACAGGACAACTGTTAAAGCATCAGAGCCTGACTAGTTTTTAAGAGTCAATACTAATATTGACATTTGATGGTTTAAGAATCTGATATCAATACATCAGCCAGTGCTCATGTTTTATGCATCAGCTGAGAGTATGGAGTGGGTTGCAGTTACTGCTGAATCCATGGAGACCTAGACTAGCAGGGATACCTGAACTAAAGTGTCCAGTTCTGATCCACTTCCAGTTTCTTCTATAAACTCTATTTGTATTTTACCATAAAAAGATTTTTCTCTACCGGAAAAGCTGAAACATGACTCTGGTGTGTCAACGTCATCACAGATAAACTGAGTTTGTGACAGATTCTAGATCAGGCTAATGATATACACTGATTTTAACAGAGTTCTCTCACATAATGAACCATGACACTGGCTGGAACTTGGTAAAATGGTTTGTGTAGGGTTTTGATTAAAGTTCATTTAGTTTAGCAGTGTGGTGGTGGAGTGGTTAACAATGTCACCTCATACAAAGTATGTAGCATCAACCTCCAGACTGAAAACTGAAGCCAACACTGAAGTGACAAAGCCTGCAGTTCTCCTAATGACCACTAAAGTCTGGCTCCAACAGTGAGTCAATCCCCACAGACTCCCATGTTAAAATATCCAACTTTACACCAGAAATAAAGATGTTTACAGCCTGGTACAAAAACAGTCTTGTTCTCTATAGCTAATTTCTACTGAACTAGTGAAATTATACTATTATTTTATTTATATGTTAGTACTAATTATCAGGTATCAGTGTCTGTGCTCACCATACCTGGCTTGTTAGCTTAGCTCATTAACTAGCTAAGTAGCCAACAGATGAAATAGCCTTGGGTTAGCCCTCTAGCTAGACGCCCAGCTGTGCTAACGATGCTAACAGGAGAGTATCATTATAATCCAACATGAACTGAAGCCAACACTAAAAAACCAAAAACCACTGACCACTAGAGTCTGGCTCCAACAGTGAGTCAACTCCTATAGAATCCCATGTTAAAATGTCCAATTTTACTGCAGAAATAAACATGTCAAAAACAGCCTGGTACAAAAACAGTCTCTATAGTTTAAGGTTTAAAGTTATGTATAATTGAGGACAGGGCCTCTTCAGTAACAGGTAGGTGTCAGCACAGGTGTGTAGCAGCTAGCTGTCTGTGTCTCCTCAGCTTATTGAGTCAGTGAACTGACTTCTCATGTGTTTGTGGTTCTTCATGTAAATATCAGACGGATAACTTGACTTGTTAACTGACAAACAGAACATGAAGAAGTCTGAGCTGCTGTTTTTACAGGTGAGTCAAATTCTACTAGTATTTTATTCATATGTTAGCACTAATTAGCAGGTATCAGTGTCTGCGCTAATCATACCTGGGTTGTTAATTAGCCAGCAGCTGAATTAGCCTTGGGTTAGCCTTCTAGCTAGACGCCCAGTTGTGATAATGATACTAACAGGTTTGTATCGTTATAAACCAACATTGATGAAGTCTCAGCTCCACTCGCCCCACCTCTTTGCTCATATTTGCATGGGAGGTAGGCAGTCAGACACTGCCAAGATGACGACAATGAAGCAGCTTCCAAATCGCTCTTCATAAATCTGTGGGTGATGCCACGCTATGTTCATCTTTATTTACAGTTTATGCTTCAAACTTGTGGCTGGTGCAGCTGGGGTCTTTCTGTGTGGAGCTAGCATGTTCTCCCTGTACCCCCAGAAAATATAGCCAATAGACAACAGATAGTTTATCAAACATTGATTCTACCATCAGAAAATAAATAAAATGATTAATTATGGTTGAGGTGTTTTTGATCATCTTCTAAAGTAGGTGTCTTGTCTGGTGTTAGAGAAGTTTCATTAGAGTCTTACACAGCTTGACTTCAGTCCTCCAGACTGACTCTGAGTCTGGAAGCTGCTTCACCCTAAGATCAGGGTTCAGACTGTAAAAAATCCTGTATTTGCAACCACATGTCAAATCATGGTGTTAGAAGAAGCATTTCATTTTATGGAACTCCTGATGATTTAATTCTTCCTACCTGAGCTCCTGAGGTTCCTACTCTACCTCCCGAGGTGAGTCCAGTAAAACTTGGTTAGCACACAGTTAGCTAAGCATGCAGGTCTACACATAACTATCATCATCATCATCATCATCATCATCATCATCATCATTATCATCATCAGTGCTGTCTTAGCATGGAAACCAATCACTGCAGGAAATACCTCGCCAGTCTGCCAGCTGCAGAAAGTGTAGGAAGCGATAGTGAACAGCTGACTCTGCAGTGCTATATGGACTGCTCCCTCTTTCTGGGATTACTTGAGAAAATCATGTTCAAATTGACCCGCTGTAAAACATCAGAACGAGCAGGTGTTTGTCTCTGCCAGCACACTTTGACATGAAGCTGTCTTCACACAACACAGCACATGATAGAGTTCAACATGTAACATGAGTCAGGACCAATCAGTCACATTAAACACACCTCACCAAGGCTGACTGTCAGTCCTGAGGCTGAGGAGCTCATGTGCTGCGTTCACTGACACTGATTCTACATCAACCAGCACTCGTTTGATTTCTCCTCAAGTCAAATCCAATAAGAAAAGAAACAGAGTAGACGTTAACTGAATATCAGTAAATATTTTTATCTGGTAATATATTAATAAATATTGAATTTAATTTAGAATTTAATTATATTTTTTTTAAATAAATCAATCAATTAAATTGAATTATTTTTTTATTTCAATTTAATTCATTTTTTAAAATTTCAATTTAATTTAATATAATTTGATTCAATTTATAATCTAATTTGTTTTATATAATCTAATTCAATTTGATTTCATTTAATTCAGTATTTCAATTTAATTCATTTTTCAATGTAAATTAATTTCATGTAATTGGATTTAATTGAATTAAGTGGCAGTGTTTATGCAGATTAGGAGGTGCAGTGAAATTTTGTTATAAAAATTCTAACTTTTTAATTGTAAACATAAATCTGATGAGTTGTTGTATTTCATATTGGTAATAATTGTAAATAATTTCAGCTCCAGTTTCTTTGTTCACTGATAAAAATGAAACTGAAGCTGTGGTGAATTAATGAAGTTTGTCTGATGACTTCATGTTTCTCTGTCTGTATTTGATACACTATCGTATATATATATATATTATTTGATAAGTGAACTATTCCCTCCAAGGGTCAAACATGGACACTGTACACATACAGCAAACATTTATAAACTGCTTCTCATATCCATTGAGCGGTTGTCTCTTAACATCTCCACAAAAGAGATGTTAAGATACATGTTCAAACATTGATCCAACATTACTTAGACCTACCAGTTAAATATATTTTTTAATTTAATCTACATGTCTCTACATCATGTATCCAAAAGGTTTGAATTTGTTATCAGTTTGAATTCAGATGACTCCTTTCTGAGAGAGCTCTGAAGCTGTGAAAACAGTAACATGTTTGCTGAAGGTGAATCTCCTCAGTTTGTCCCCTGCAGGATAAGTAACATGAATTATAGTTGGTGAAATTATTATTAACAAATTACTTCAAATAAGACAACTAATGTATGAACTTGCTTTTTAGAGGTTGTCAACATTGTGTTGATTCACATCATGCAGGATTGTAGTGGATTCAACTTATTTTTTCTCATGAATATAAGTTTATTAATTTGACATTATTCAACTTGAATTTCTAACTTAATTTTTCCTTGAACAAAGCCCTGTGTAACTGTAATCTTTTACCACAATGTTCTCCTGAATGTTCAGTAGTTTGTTTTCTCTGGATCACAGCTCATGGACCAGAGCCCATTCTACGTTAAGTGTTTGTACCAAACCAGAGTGTTTTCATCGTGAGGATTATTTCCCTGTCACTAATTTATTTACAGTATTTAAGCTTCACCTCAATAAATGAGATATGTAGGCATCAGAATTTGGTTTTCAGGAGAAATCAAAGAAGAAGCATATGAGAGTAAAATGAGTCCAGAGAAGGACTGAGATATGGTGACAGTTTGTTTTTACTGTTCCCTTCATCAGGAACATATGTGTCACTGTGGAGTCACTTCACTCTGTGTGTTGAACATCAATGAATCCTGTTTTTAAACATTAAAGTGTTGTTGATTAATAACTTTTATGATAGAATATATGTTTAAGACCAAGAGGAACCATTTAAAAATACTATAATTGCACAAGTATAGCTGTCTTAGATCTGTTCTGACTTAATAAATCAGTACATTTATATATTTTTTCTTTGTGTCAGTGATTTCATGTAAACAGAAACACATGAGCTTCTCTGCCTTTATATAACATCAACATTAATGCCAGTGTCTAACTAACATATAGATATGAGAACAGTTTACCTGTGCAGCTGTTGAAGAAAAAACAACACACACACATAACATTACTGTCATTGTGAACTCTGACTATAAGGTATGACTCAGTATAAATCCACCTTCAATCAGTTGATTTGGGAGAAAACAGCCAATAAAACAACTGGAATATTTCTACACATCAGGTCCTGGTGTGTGAGAGGAGATCATTAAAAACACTAAAGCATCGTGTGTGTGTGTGTGTGTGTGTGGGGGGGGTCTATGGTTAAGAAACTTTATAGAAATTAGTCTTTTTCTAATTAAGACAGAATAAAGATGTTCAGGTCACACTGACCTGGTCTAAAAAAACCTCTAATATCTATTTTGAAATGTCATCATTTCCTGTTGAACTCTGATCGGTTGGTTTGTAGCTGTTGGCTGTAGCAGCAGTCACACTGTGAGACTCTGGTCCTGAATTTCACAAACCTCCTCCCAGCTCAGTGTTCACACTCTGACCTCACATCAACACAGCAGTGATCCTGAGGAGATATGGAGAACTGAGGTCATGTTAAATGAGTCTTTGCTGTGTTGTTTTATGATTAAAACAGCTTAATGTCTGACATCATGAGGAATCTTTACTAAGTAGTAGAAAGTAAACCAGTGTGACCGTTTCCTCCCAGACAGCTGACGTGACATTAGCAAAACACTGAGATTTAATGAAAACAGAAAACACACTTACACCACAGCAGCAGAGCTTCAATGGGAGAATGTATAAATGCATGGGGGTGGAGGTCAAACCCAGGTTGTTGTATTATCTTTAATGTTAGATCCTGATCAAACTGTGCAGAACATACAGAAAATGCAGCAGTAGTTTAGATTTGATGCTGCATGCTGCCACTTCATCAACATGGCAGAAGTGATTACTGACACAAGACCTGTCAGTAGATTTATCCTCAGAGACTCACAGAGCTGCAACATGAGCAGCTGCTGCTGTGGTTCACACTGAGCATGACAGAGCTGCTGTGTAGTTGCACAAAGGTCACACTGCAGGATACTTACTGTGGTTTAGCTCCTGCTATCAACAGCACCTGGACACATTCCAAGCTACCTGAGCGAGCCGCCTTGTGGATGGGAGCCTCGCCTACAAAATCCTGAAGACACATAGAGGTAATAATGAAGGTGTGCAGCAGTAGTGATGGTGCTCTCGGGTGTCTCTGTGACTCAGGACTGACCTGCCTGTTGACGTCAGCTCCAGCCTGAGTCAGCCACACCACACACTGAGGGTGTCCTCCAAACGCTGCGGTGTGTGTCGGTGTCTGGTTGAAGCGGCTGGTTACCATGTTAACCTCACAACCCATCTGCACCAGGCGCACCACACACTCTAGCTGTGAACACAGCCCAACATGACAATGTAACAAGTGAAAACATCTGTTGGTGAATACACAGTCGGTTGAGCCATCAAACACCAGGGGCCTCATATCAAGCAGGAATCTTCAGGTGTCAACAGATTCACCTTTATTGTGAAAAATCACCCTAAGGTTGAGAGACGCTGGTGTAAATAAAGCAGAAGGAGGCTGTGGTTTTATTGAGAGGTTCAACTTTTAACTAATAAATGTTAATATGATGTATTTTTATTCAGCCCTGTTAAATGTGTCTGTAATTAATTTATTTTTATATCAAAAGTGTTACATACTGTTTTAGGTGAGAGCTGCGAGGACACTAATGTCATGTTAGCATGTTTATTACAAAAATATTACAATGTAAGCAAACATTATGTCTTAATTGCTTTTCTATTTGTACTTCTAGAAATGGTGGATATACTTATTTTCAGGAAAGAATGGATTATTATTTGAAAACTTACTCTTATAGATGTGAAATTTAGCAAAATAACAAAATGTATTAAATAAAACTAATTGTCACCTTCAGTATTTGGGCCATGGAAATCAAACAATACATATTCATATTTAAGGGAAAAATTATTACAAACTGGTTGTAATAAAAGCAGTCCGTCCTAGCAAAGATGTCTGGAAAAGGTGCAGTCCCAAAATAAATGTGTGTCCCTGCTTCTATTGGTTTATTAAATAACTCATTGTTGATTTTATATGGTACACATCACTTTTTTACCAGTGGAACCTTTGTGTTTATTCAGGAATTTGTAGTTTATTTATTTAAAGGAAACTTATTTTATTTTGTTTTTAATCTGCCCTGTCACATTAGCATGTTCTGGATAAAGTTTACAGTATCACTTCATAAAATACACACTTCCTGGTTTCCTGAAGATGTTTTGGCGCCTGATTTTACATTGGCTTCCCCTAAACCAATGGAAACGCTGCAACCCCTCGCTTTAGTTTTTTCGCTAAGAAAACTTTATTGTACAGTAACAAACAGACAAATTGTGTCAGAGCAGTAAATGACACTATCAGCTCATTAAATATCAGCCCTTTGATGTGGTTCATGCTCCTGTTTCCCGCCATATTAGTTAATGACGACATTAGCCGTGATTCAGGTTGACTGCAGGTAAATGAAGGACTGTGGTTTACTGTTGATAAGTTATGACTCAACACAATAGGAAACATCGCTGATGGAGTTTCAGCCTTTAGGAAGATTACCTGTCGCCAGGTAAATCTCTTAATCCACCGTGTACCGTAATCCCTACCTGTCCGTAGTGAGCAGCCCAGTGTATGGGGGTCCAGCCGTAGCAAGAGTCCTCAGCAGTCAGAGGAGCCTGGTCCGGCAGCTGGTGAGACAGAGAGACCAGAGCTCCAACATCTCCATCCCGGCAGGCTCGATGGATGGGAAACCGGCTGATGAATACCTCATCACAGGAGAAGTCGGTCTCCTGTCCCGCAGACATGAGTGGACCGTGAAGGTGGCTCACAGACACAGTTCTCTCCAGTGATCCCGGTCCCATATAACAGACTAAAACGGTTCAAACACAAAGGAAGAGGAGATAAGCCTCTCTTCTCGGCTGGAGCATCACAAAACCCGGACTGGATCACACCGAGGCATTTGGCTAGCAGTCTACAGTTCGGGCTAAAAACCGGTCGGGAACTCCTTCAGCCGTCGTGCCACCTTGAGGTCGGAGGGAAACCTTACAACTATATGTAGGTTAGAAAATTATACTCTTATTATAATTAACAACTCATTCACAACAGGCTAATTAACAACTTTCCTCCTTTAAACACTGAAACATTCCATAGCTAATGTTGTAATGAAGCTAGGTTTACAGTGTATGTTATTGATGCTAGCAACCCCACAGGAAGAGCAGCATCAACAACAATAGCAGCAGAAGAAGACAACAAACACACCGACCATAATATGTCAGCGTCATTGGGCGGGAAACCGCTGGCTCTGAGTCACGGATCAAAGGTAAGAGCAAGGAAACACAGCTGGATGACCTAGGTCAAAGGCCAGCAGAGTCGAGGCGGGAATTTGTCGGACATTTGTAGGGATTAAGGACAGAGGGAGAGGATGTAGGATGAAGTGAAGGAAGCAGGTGGAATAGGTGATGGTAAATCTGAAAGGAGGGAGACTGAAGGATGCATGAAGATTAGTGTGCAGAGAAGAGATGAGGAGACACAGGTAAAGTGTAGAGTTTGGAATAGAGGAAGAAGATCTCCCACAGAGTTTCACTCTTTTGGAGATCTTTTCGTTTACATCAGACTTTTCATAGCATGATTCCTCATCACCGTGTACCCATGGCAGTCAAACGTTCCATATAGCTAAATGTATTTAATGGTAATAGAACAATGACAAGTGCATGTGCGTAGCGATTTTGCTATGCAGTGTATGCCTGATATCAGATGCTTAGTGCATAGGTTTCCTTTGGATGCGCCTAATTTTTTTAGTAAAGTGGTTAGTTGTGATTAGAGGAAGAAGATCTCCCACAGAGTTTCACTGGGACACATGACCTTACCTGTGAGGGAGAACGCTCCTTACCTGTAAGACTATGACTATCAAACACTTGGTCATACAGCTGTGACGTGAAGTGTGGCATATGGACCAGGTGATGATGTGTCTCCTCTTGTTCTGTCGATGGGGGTCACACGTCTGAGAGTATCTCCTCCTCTAAGATCCACGTCAGCTCTGAGGTCCATCAGGAAGTCTTTGTCAGAGTGAGGAAGAGAGACCTGGAGAAGCTGACCACAGAGGTGATGCAGCTTAGGGACTTCCTTCCCAGAGTCCTGAATCCGAACCTGATGGAGATGCTGCATCAGGCTCGAACAGCTCAGACAGGTACACTGCTCTTCACCTGAACCTGGAGGCGAGAAAAGAGGATGTTATGTTCTGTTTCTGAGAGGGATGATTCCCTTTATTGGTGACATAACAAAAACAGGTGTGACAGAGACTGAAAAAGAAAGTATAGTGTAAATTAATTACCTAAATATAACTGTAGAAAGAATGTAATAATAATAAAAAAATATATAATAATAATTTATATGATATCCTGTCAATATAAGAGCGATATATGTAACAACAAAATAAAAAATATTATTTATTATAGAAAAAACAATAGAATAATTTAAAATATATTATTATAATAATATAATATATATTATTATATATAATAATAATAATAGTGTTAAATAGTGATGAGTGGCGAGATCAGTTTGAGCTACTGTGGAGACAAGCAACAGGACAGCAGGAGATCCAGATGTGTTTGTAAAGAACCTTATGGGATGTGATATCAATAAATATCAATACATTATCAATTAGTTTATAGTGAGTGCATGTAAAGTCAGTGTGGTCCCTGCTGGTTTCACTGATGGTCTTATTAAACTTGTATATGGTGTTAATGTTTAGCAGCAGAGACTCTGCTGAAGCTTCTCACTGCTGTGCACTGATCAAACTGATTCATCATCAATAATCTATAATTCAATTGAGGAGAATATTGCACTACCCCACAGGTTGCAAGACCTGGTGTATGCTGACATACCGTTGAAAAAAGCCAAATTACGTTTAGGCCCTGTTATTTCATTTTTACTGGCATCTTACCGTACTATAATGAAGCATGTCGGCACAGATTATAAATGGCATAATCACACACAAATTTTCAATCATTTCTCACTTCTTACTGGTAATATTCCCTTCTCATTTCCGCATTGGAAAAATAGAGGAGTGAATATACTAAAGGATCTATATTGTGTCCATGGTTTACGTGCTTTTAACGATCTAAAAGCAGAATTTGATCTTCCGGGTTCATCCTTTTTCTTCTATATGCAGTTAAGATCAGCTATGCGGGCGTACGGTGTCCCGTGGGGAGCAGCTCTCCCCACACACCCTCTACGTAAGTTGCTTGCCTCAGTAGGACCTACACGGGGGATGGTTTCTAAACTTTACAAATTCATTTCTGGACCCTATAAATCCTTTCCAGTAGAGGGCATTTGGAATAGAGATCTAAATGATAAAGATAAATGATAGAGAGATTTGCTGGGACACAGTGTGGAAAAACCTTAGTGGTACTTCCAAAAACCCCAACCACCAGTTAATACACTATAAATATCACAGGATCACAGGATGTATCTCACCCCCAGAAGGCGTCATTCTATGAAGATTGCCACATCTCCGAATTGTGATCTTTGCTCACTTAATGCCCAGGGGTCATTCTTGCATGTTTATTGGGAGTGCCCTGGCGTGGTTGGATTCTGGAAGGAAATATCTCTCACTTTAAGTGATATTCTTAAGATCAGGATCCCAGTCTCCCCAGCCTTACTTTTGCTTAATGATGACTCTTCTTTAAACTTGTCCCTGCAGCATAAACGTATTCTATGGGCTGGTCTCACAGCAGCCAAGAAAATGCCGGCCCTTAGGTGGCAACCGCCACATTCCTTGGCTTGGCAGCAGTGGGCCAATTCATTCATTCATTCATTCATTCATTTTCTACCGCTTATCCTCTAGTAGGTTCGCGGGGGGGCTGGAGCCTATCCCAGCATCCTTTCGGGCGAGAGGCGGGGTACACCCTGGACAGGTCGCCAGTCCATCGCAGGGCACACAGAGACAAACAACCATTCACTCTCACATTCATACCTATGGTCAATTTGGAGTAACCAATTAACCAAAAGACCCCATTTGCATGTCTTTGGACTGTGGGGGGAAGCCGGAGTACCCGGAGAGAACCCATGCAAGCACGGGGATAACATGCAAACTCCACACAGAAAGACCCCGCGTCTGAGCCGGGACTCGAACCCGGAACCTTCTTGCTGTGAGGCGACAGCGCTAACCACGTGTAACCACCGTGCCGCCGTGGGCCAATTCATTTCTTGAAATTGTCCTGATGGAGTGGTCTGTTGCCCGTATGCACGGAGCCAGTCATAAGACTTTACAGGGCTGGGAAGTTAGTTAAAGAAAGGGTGCAGCATGGCCGACCTTGATTTTTCTGCTTTTTTTTTTTTTTTTTTTTTTTGTGGGAGAGATCCTGGGTGGGAGGTTCACATGTAGTCGCCTGGGGGAGGGAGGGTTGTGTGTGTATGGTTGTGGGGGGGGTTCAATATTGTTACCTCCCTGAAAGTGTGTAAGTGACTTTGTATCTGTTTGTACTTACTGTGTGAGGAGGGAAAAAAGAAGGGAGAAACAATTTATATGATGTAAACATATATTTTGTACATTTCTCAATAAAAAAGTTGATCACAAAAAAAATCTATAATTCCAAAATAACTAAATTAATGAAGTTACAAAGTTACATCATTAATAATCAACAAGTTAATGTGGTTTTTCTAAATATTATACTCTCATTTTTTTTATATAAAGCTTGTTAGCATTAGCATGTTAGCATGCAGGAGAACCAGCACCATGAACCAACCAAGTCTACACACTCAGTTAAATATCTTTGTGTGTGTGTGTGTGTGTGTGTGTGTGTGTGTGTGTGTGTGTGTGTGTGTGTGTGCGTGTGCGTGTGCGCGCGTGCGTGTGTGTGTGCAGTGAAGGAGCTGCTTGTGCAGGAACAGGAGCAGCTGAGACAGAAGTGTCTGCACCTCCAGTCCAGACTGGACGCAGTTCAGACTGACTGTCAGAGAGAGAGAGAGGTGAGAGAGGCCAAGAGACATTAGGTCAGGCTGTCTGTGTGTGTGTGTGTGTGTGTACACTGCTCTGAGATCAGTGATCAGGCTTTAAGGGGTCGTTTCAGCTAAACAAAAAACTGTTCTTTAACTATCCAGATAACTTGATTGTTTTGTATGTCAAGACACCTTTGTGTGTGTATGTGCGTGTGCAGGAGAAGCTGCTGTTACGTGAGCAGCTGTGGCAGAGTGGAGCAGAGCTGCAGCAGCAGGCAGACTTCTGCTCTGGTCTGGGATCTGCAACCTGCAGTCTACTGTGGAGCTGCTCTGTCATAGAGGACACAGTCACACACTGGCTGGCTGACGTGAGTCTGTCTGTGTGTATGTGTGTGACAACCAGGGTAAACAGTAAACTCTGAGTTTCATATTTGGTATCTGACAGCTGATTGGTGGAACTGTGTTGTCTGATATATAAGTGTGTGTGTGTGCGCAGGGGAAGCTGCAGGCCTTTCTGGCTGTAGCTGCTCAGACTCTGGAGAGCTTCGTCAGGTCTCTGGATGTGGAGCTGAAGACCCAGACTGAGGACCAGAACTCCCAGGAGCACCAATTTGTGTTGGCTCTAGCTGGAACCATCACCAGTGAGTTCACAACTTCTGTTCTGCAGCACAGACACTTTTGAAGAGGTCATTAGTCAGTGTTGTGGCCTCAGAGCAGCAGAGTGTCAGATGGGTCAGACTGGATCAAACTGATTAAAGTGGTTCAGCTGTGAAGTTCCAGCTCCAGACCACACCTCCCTCACTCACCTTGTCTTTATCTCCCTCCAATCAGACATAGCGGCAGTCACGTGTGGGCGGGACTACCTGTCTGGCTCGGCTCACACCCTGCTGGACATTCTGATGAAGCTGCTAGAGCTGATGAAGCCTGGAGTCTTCCCCAAGCTGAAGGTGTAGGTGGAGCTGCTGCTCTCTCTGGGTGTTATGTTGATGCTGTTTGTCTTTTATCAGTGTGAACATGAAACATACTGGCAGCTCCAGTGACTGAAGTCACTCAATCAGACTGTCAGTACCTGATTTGGACAGTAGGTGTCAGTGCTGCTTCTGATGCTGCTGTGTTGCTGCAGGTTGATGCTGATGGCTCTGTATAATGTCAGCATCAGTGTTAAAGGACTCAAGTACATCAGTGAGAACCCAGGACTCCTGCCTCTGATCTGGACCCTGCTGAATGGTGAGGAGACCACCACATTGCATCAGTGTTACACAGTGACACTTCCTGTCTCCACAGGGACCACAAAACACCTTACATTAAAATTGTCTTTAAAGTCTGAGTTAGATTTTCTTAAAATAAAAACAGTCGCACAGAACACCATAAGTTAAGAATTTCCTTAAAGTCTGAGTTAAAGTTTCCATAAAATAAAAACAGTTTCACAAAACACCCTTAAGTCTTCTCATTAAGATATCTTTTAAATGTTCACTTAAGTTTTTAAGGGTTTTTCCCTATGTTATTCTTATTCTTAAGGAATTAGTTAAATCATTGCACAAAACACCTTAAGTTTAAGGGTTTTTCTTAAAGCCTGAGTTGAGGTTTTCTTAATACAATATGTTGCACAAAACACCTTAAATTAAGATTTTCCTTATAATCTGAGTTAAGGTTTCCTTAAAAAGCAGTTGCACAAAGCACCCTGAGTTAAGATTTCCCTTAAAGTCTGAGTTAAGGTATCACAAGTACTAATGGCAGTAAATCAATGGTCCCCATGGAAACAATAGAATTTTACCGCTGTAAAATCTCTGCTGCAAATGCCTCAACTTTTTTTTCTTAACTAAGGAAACCTTTTAAGAGCTTCTGTGTAACCCTTAAGTGACTCCCCCAGTTAAGGAGAAATTAAACCTTAAGTGTCATTCTTAAGCAGGAAACTTAAAGTGCCCCAGCTTCTCTCATGTCAGGACCGGCTCTTAGACCCTGACTAACAGAGGGAAACACACACAGGTGTACTGGGAAGAGAAACAATCACATGTATTTACATCATGTGAACTACATGTATGAAGAGGTCCTTCAATAGATTAGTGGTGTCACTGAGTGGGTGTATGAGAGGGTGGAGCTGTATGGTGTGACTGAACCAGACCAAAGAGAGCATGTGATGACAGGAGGAGATCAGACAGAGACAGAGAACATGGCTGATCCTGCTGCACCCAGGTGAATTGATGTAAACTGCACCCACCAGGACCTGAAGGTAGACACCACCCTGCAGGTCATGTCAGAACCAGAGTAAGAGACTGAGCTGTGTGTGAGTGGAACAACAGCTGCAGGTGTGTGTGGCTCATGAGGCTCAGGTGTGGTGGTGACCCTCTGTCAGCTGCTGCAGGTCGAGCTGCTTTGACTCACTGTGATATTGGACAGTTGTTCCAGGCTGGACTCACTGTGTCAACAGCAGTGACAATATATCACTGCAGTTTGTCCTGGAGGCGGTCATAGTCTCTCATCCACCACACTCACAAAAACATCATCAACAACTGTTCTTATACTGAGCTCATCATTTTTTATTAACAATGTGAAATATTGATAGTTTATGATTGATCAGAAATGTGGATTTAATGCTTTTCTTTGTCTTATGACAGATGGAGAGTGGGAGGTGTGTCTCCACTCTCTGCGTCTCCTCCAGTCTCTGCTGCTGGACGAGGAGGTGCTGCTCCTGCTGGGCTCCTCTCTGCTGGATCCAGACCTCCAGGCTCGAGTCCACCACCTCACCACTAGTGTTGAACCAAGCCTGAGACTGGCTGCCCAGCAGACCCTGGAGGACCTGCAGGTCCTCCAACAGGTGCCTAATCACAGCACCTGTTGAACCCTTGTAGTGCAACAAGTTCACATTTTATAATTAAAACTCCTCATTAATGAGGACAACAGTATCTACAGTATCATCCATCCATACACAGTGAGATTTTCAGGTGTTACCATGAAGATATGATTTTATCTTCATTCTGTTTGTAACTACAACTCACAAAGTGTAGACAGAGATTTAAGGTGAGCACTGAAACTGAAGGTGGAAATTATGTTCATACATCATCCAAGTGAAGCAGCAATGGCTTGTGGGTAATACTCAGGGTCAGTTCATTGTTGATATAGTGGAGGTGTAATTAAAGTGTGTGTGTGTGGGTGTGTGTATGTGTATGTGTGTGTGTGTGTGTGTGTGTGTGTGTGTGATTGCAGGGTCGAGGGTGTGAACAGAACAGCCTCTGATGTGGATCCAGCATCTTCAGTCCAGTCCTGGTCCTGTGTTCAGTCCCCCTCATGTCACTTGACATGGTCTGTGTTCAGTCTTTGATTAGTTCATGTTGATGTTTCTTATTGTTGTTACTTCATGTGAATATAATGACACAGGTTTGTACAATACGGATTAAAGATGATGTCTTTCTGTTTCCATAGAAACAGGTTTCTGACTGATACAGTGTTTGTTACAGTGGATTCAGAAAGTACAGACCCCTTCACTCTTTACACTCTTTATTATTTTGTACATTTGATTTTAAAGGATAAAATCTCTCCATAATGATATATAACGATATATTAATAGTGTTAGATAGTAGTTAGAAGTTAGTTAGAATTTTTTACAAATTCATGTATTCATCAATTCATATAGAGCAGGTCTACACTGTGCTCCTTATAATGTTATTTACAGAGATGCAACAATTAACACCTTGAGCAGACTGATGAAAAAAAATTTCTCTCTAGAGACAGAAACCTGGAGCAGAACCAGAGAGAGAGAGGCACAAAGTCAAAAATATGTCATTTCTCAGCTACGTCACCGCCACATCACTGCCCACATTAAGTGCACCTCAGTGGAACGCAGAATGGTCCAAAACATCTGTTTTGACGTCCACGTTAAGACGTCAAATTTGCACATTTATATACGACAAAAAATGCTGTGTTAACATGCTAATTTTGAACGTCTTTAGAGCCCACATGACCACAAAATAGGCCAACCAATAGCATGGAAGTATTGATGGTCCAAACGACTTAAGACCACTCTGTCTCCAGAGACACATCTGTCTCTGCCTCCAGAGGTGGTGTGGATGGAGATAGAGACTGCTCCAGTCTTCCCTGCAGACTGAGCTCTTGTCTCTGCTGCAGTCTGTTGTGGTATCACAGTCAGTCCAAAGACAAAGTTGACTGTGCGACTGTTTGTATTTCCTCTTCTTCTTCTGTCCCTCTCTCATCTATTTTTTTGACGTCCCTCTCTGGAGTGAAGGGAACTTGGTCTTGTCCAGCAGCTATCCCAAAATTCATTGCATGCCGGTAATGAAAGAAAACAACACTGACAGAGTGCTACTTTTAAATGTAAGTATTGTCTTTCAGCTCAGTTCAGCAGCTAATGGTACATCTGTTAAAGCCAAGGGCCTTAAAACCTCAAGTTTTTGGCTGTGTTTGGAACTGCCTACTAACGCACTATTCATACTAAGTGTGACGTCAAAATGAGTATGTAGTGCATTCCAACTGCATAGTATGTGAATTTTGTGTACGTGAGAAATACCCGGATGTAAACTAGATTAGAAAGAATTTCTGAGTATGCGCTGTGAGCATACCGGACATACTGAATTGCCCAATGAGGCATTGCGACTCTTCAAAATACGATGGTGGGGTATGAGGCGGAGGCTCCTGGTTCCAGTTCACATTGCATTTATATACTGGGAACAAATGAGATGTTTAAAACTTGATAATGTGCTAATACTTCTGAGGGAAATCCAAAATTCAGGTACATCTGAATTACGTACCACAGACAACAAGCTTTTTTCTCCACGCTGACACGGTGGTTGGTAAGAGGCATGACAGGACCCTGGACGTTACTGTACAGTACACTGACTGTCTGCTCTCCCAATATCTCCGAATCTCCATCATACCAGATTTACAAATAGCCTTTACTTCTATAAATAGACCAAAGTTGTGAGTCTACAGGTTAAATTCTCACCTGAAAAAATGTTAATACTTAAAAAGTGACCTATAAACAGTGTTATTAGAAAATACTTTAACAGCTTTCAGCCTTCTTTAAAATCCCCGCCAGTCATCGCTGTCGCTGCCAGTTCATGCAAAATGCATTCTGGGATACTGGCAGTATACTTCAGTGTGAACAGTCAGCTTGGTAATGGCATACTAATTTGTTCATTTAGTAGGCAGAATGCAGTTTATACTGATTGAGTATGTAGTAGGCAGTAGGCAGAAGGCGGTTCCAAACACAGCCTTTGTGGAAAAAAGTTATGTGTTGTCAAGGTTGCTATGCAAACTTGGCTTTGTGACGCAGTGGCAACAGCATCAAATCTCTGTAGACCAGGCTGTCTCATTTCAGTTCCTCCAAAGGATGAGGCCCCTGAATTGGGACAAGGCTAATAGTTACATTTAAAAGTTGATCTATGTCAGTGTTGCTTGCTTTGGGATAAGTTGGGCAATGAAGAATCCACCAGCTGGACCTGACCAGATCCTTTGGTCTCTGGTCTGACTGTATCCTCCATCTCATCCTTTAAATCAGTGACACCAGTCTGTCCTCTAACATTGGTTTGCATGTATTTACCACTCGACACACTGGTCCATGAACCTGAGCTGGTGGTTCTCGTTCCTGTTACTGCAGTGACAGACCCTTATGGAACCTGTACCAGTGACTTCAACATTTTTGAATTTATCATTGATTACTGTGACTGTCTCCACCAACTGTTAATCTGCTGTGGTTAAACTGTTACTGGAGAAGCCACATGTTGATCCAGGGTCTCTAAATAATCAACCAGTCTCTAACCTTCCTTTCTCTGAAGCTCTGGACAGAGTTGTGTCTCAACAGCTCAGTCCACTGCAGGACAGGTGTCTGTGTGTATTGTTTGATACAGGGTCTTGGTGGTCACCTTGAACCTGTATCTCATCAGTCCTCTTTCTGTGTGCCTGTTTTTCCTATGTTGTCTCTTTTGACTGGACTTGTCTTCTCTTGTTTCTTTTGTGGTACACCACTACAACCTGACCCAATGTACTAATGACAGTATGAGCTTCAACCTGGAATGATGGAGGACAGTTTTTAGGGGGGTCAAATTTATCTTTTTCATACAATGTAGGAGACATATCCCCCGGTCTCTTGTGACAATTACACTAATGCTCAGCTCCACCTAAAGACACTAGCTGCTACAGAGAGTTTGTGCTGGTCCTAAAAACTGATCCATTAGCATTTCCAATGCTGCAGTGAAAAGTAAAATACATCTAACATCCTGTCATCTGAGATTTTGAATAGATGAGCTCATGTCAGATCAGCTGACTATCCGCTATCAGTCTTAAAACTCCATATTTAAACTTCTCCTGTTTAGAGTTTTATTTTGAAGTATAGAGTGTTTTATTTTGAAGTATTGATCCATAAGAAGATGTGTTTGTGGTTTTAAGAACCAAAAACCATCTCAGTGTAGTTTTACATCTCCTCTCTCAGCCTTGCTCTGCTATAAAAATATAGCAGATTACAGGTAAACACTCAGAGAAACCAAATCCTGCAAGGTTGGATGGTGGGTCCAGGTGGGCATGGCTGAGAGCAGTGAATGCTTTGTTGTGACATCACAAAGTTCCAGAAGTCCTGACTGCTGGTTTTAAGGCTCAGTTTCTGAATACAGGCTGTGTGCATTTCTCTGTGATACTTTCACAGTATTAATATAGAACCTCGTCATGGTTTATACTATATGGACCTTTAACAAGACTGAGCAGGAAATGTGCAAACACACAAACAAACACACACACACACACACACACACACACACACACACACACACACACACACACACACACACACAGGAGGTGCCTCTTGTTAATTGTACAGCTTTATTATAAGTTTCTTTAGTCTGGACTTCTCAGTATTGCGCCTGAATCCATGGAACAGGTCTAGACTACAGAACAGGATCCTGAAGACAGAGCAGAAGGTCAGAGAACTTCACTGATGGAAACCTGGGACATGTTTGACATTTAACTTGAACCATGTGCAGTGACAGAGGACTGGCTCTGAAACACACAGACCATCAGCAGAGTGAAGTTTCAGCTCTCAGTCTCGTACTCAGATGACTTCTCTCCTTCAGAACTCAGCTAACCCCCCCCCACTTTACCACCCTCATGGTGGTTTGTTAAACTTAAAACAATGGTGCTAATAAAACAGAAGAGTGCTACGAAGGATCTACAGAGGAGGAAGTGAAGCTAGGAGGACCGGAGAAGAAGAATCTGTGGTCGTCCGTCCCAGTCGATGCAGGTTGTTGGGGGGTTGAGCCCCTCCACCACCCCCGGTCAAACCCCAACCCCTGGTCTCTAAGAGGATGCAGCGGCATTGGGCTTATCATCACGGGTGACGGGGATACTGCGCTCGCCACGGCTGGACTCACTACCCCCGGTGACCTTTGGCCCAGTCATAGTCAACAGGCCATCAGTTGACAGACAGCAGGTGATCGCTGATTGGTCGACGCTGGAGGGGAGGCGGTAGCGGCGATGAAACTCGCGAGAGATGTAACCGTGGTCGTCCTGAAAGACAGAAGGATGAACACAAACTATCAATATCAATATCAATCAATACTAATTAAAGGAACAATTCTCACTATAAATGAAAGTCTGTCTTTATGTAACTGACCATACATTCTCCTCAGAAATAACACTTCCTGGTTTTGTTGTAGTAACAGACTGTGACCAGTATTTCCTGGCCACAGTTGATCTTCAAAATAAAAGACTAACAGGAGGCTGGGAGAAATATTTTGAAAGTATTGTATACAGAGCTGCAGGGATGATGTGTTTCCCTGCACAAACAGCTAATGGGATTTTTACATTGTGTTTTGGATTATTATAGAAAATAAACAACAGTTTATGTTTGGTTTAGTTCAGCACTACAGTCTTCACTAATGAACACCACTTTATTACGTTTGGAGCCTGAATACAATCAGCAGAAGTAAAAATCTAATGTTAGGCTATAAACCAACTACAAACGCCTACCAGCTACCTCTTCTGCAAAAGCCTTTTCTCTGACAAAGTTAGTTACAGTTTGTATGACCAAAACGAGGCTGTAAAGTTGGACTGGTGAGTAGATCGGTTTTCATGTTCAACATGATGACGTTTAACGTCCCCGACAACCTCTGTAGTCTCATTTAGACACTTGTTAGCAACCAAAACGTAAAAGCTTCAAGAAATCAGGACTGTGGTATTTACTGACTGATTTTATGTTGGAGAATAAAATATGAAATGTCTTGAGCTTGTGTTAACCACAGACCTTATTTCAGTTAGCTAACCAAAAAACGCATTCAAAAAACAGATCTTTCCAGCTGAGACAAGAGGTTAAAAGGACACAGACTGTAGATGTAGTTCACTGTAATGAGTCCAGTCTTTCTAGCGTTTAGCTGTTTACCACCCAGACTGTGTTAACTCTTCAGCAGTGTGGTGGTGGAGGGCAGAAGCTGTCTTCATGATGAGTCAACAGGTTGTATGAACTTTTCATTGACTGATAATGATAAGTGAGATATACCCATCATGAATCCTACTATCTGTTTCCTTCACATGGTTTGATTGTACTGGATTACAGAGGAAGTTTTTACTGAGGTTTGTCTGAATTGTGTTGACTCTTTAAACCAGAGAGCATGTTGAACATTAATCTATTATCATAAACGTGTTTTACAAAGTACTGCTCTGTCAGGTGTAACAGGTTCTGTTACAGCTAACTTCAAGGTCATATTACTCTTTGGACAAAGTGAACTAAAGCAGTAAATACCTGACTAAACGCTATCACTAACTTTATTTTGAAAGTGGTGTGTGGGAGAGGGGGGAGGAGCACTACCTGTTTTTTTAATTTACCTGTCTCTCTCCATGCTTTCCCTGGATCTCCACGTAGTCGTCAGTGACCTTCACACTAAGCTCATCAGGTGAGAAGTGCTTAACGTCCAGGTAGACTGTGAACTTATCCCTGTCAGACCTCACCTGAGGGACACACACAAGCAGAGAGAGGATGCACCGTATCATCATAGTGTGTTGTGACTTGTGCTTTATGTTACCTGCCTATGGACTACAGATGTAAATTAGCAGTATTATCATTAGTACTGATGCTATTCAAAATAAGAGCCTGAACCTGTCACAGTTTAAGTATAGAATGTTTAGATATTTAATTTAATGACTTTAAATTTTCTTTAGTTCAGTAAAAGTTTATTTAGATGTAAAGCAACTAAACTCAGAACTCATAACGGGGGGTCTCATAATGATCACATTGATAGATCCTATTGATATCCTATTGATATGGTAAAATCCAGTTTGAAATTCTAATGAACTCTGGATCTTTCTCTTTATATTATACAATTAAAAAGACATTTACTGCTACTACCCTGATGTTAACATGAGCTTGAACACAGCTCTTCTCTGTCTGTGTATCTGTCCTCCTATGAACATGAGTAAAGCTGTTTCTCCACAGTACTGATGGAGTCACAGTCTGATGTCGTTACCTCAGAGATGCCAGAGTTGGACGAGTCCAGGAAGTTGCGGAACAGTGACTGTCTGTAGTAGGGGCTGATGGTGGAGGCGGTGTAGGGGAAGAGGTCGTAGTCAAACATGCCCTCTCCAAAGAACTGGTCAAAGAGTCTGGCAGGGTAGACGGAGCCCAGGGCGCGTCTGAACCAGGGGTGCTGAATGGCAATATCCATAGTGAGCAGAGACTTGACTCGGCTTGGCTGGCTAATGTACCTGCACAGAGTCTGGCAGGTGAAAGGAGGGAGGTGAGGAATGATGATGAAGAAGGTTTCCAGAGAGCTTTGTCCTCTGCTCTCCGGCTGCCTCCTCTTTATATACCTGAGAGCCAGAAAGAGAGGCTTTAGCCACGATCCCTCTGGAATGGCATTATCTCATGGTGGGTTGGGCCCCGTCAGCAGAATCAGGGTTGAGGATGGGGGGGCACTACTAGGTCCAGACCCCGCTGCGACCCAGTGCCACCCACACACCAGACACCCAGAGCTGCCAAAACAAACCCTGGTGAAGGAGGGCAGCACAGAAACAATGAGGTCAGGAAGCCGACTAAAGACACAGAGGGATTTTACCTGAGTGGTAGTTCATCAGCAGACACACACACTCACACTCTGTCAGTGGCACAATACACACAGAGCAACAACAACAGACACACACATCCACAGTCAGTCAGTGACACAATGCTGATGTATTGTTCTGTCTGTGTGATGGGACAGAGCAGATTTACACACAATGCTGCACAGAGCAACAACAACTGACACACAGAAGAGAACACAGATAGGAAAATAGAGAGAAGAACACAGAGAGGAGAACATACAGAGAGAAACAGAGAGGAGAACACACAGAGGAGAACACATGGTGCAACGATAACATGTCACTGATACTGACTGTAGAGTACTCAGGTCTGAAACAGTAACATTGAGGTTTTATTAACGTGGTCACTGATGTAGAGTCTCCTCTCCGAGAATTGCCACCTGAACGTGATGGAGGGGTTTTTGTGTCCTGGTGACCCTGGGAGCTGTGATGTCAGGGGAAATAGCCCATGGTAGGGTCTTTCAAGGCAAATTATTCCCAGGGGAGGGGCCAAACTAGGAGCGTTCATAAAACACTGAATGAAGAGCCATGTTACGACGCCTCGTTCAAACATAAGGTAGCTCATAACTATGCTAACATGTCCTCTGTGGAGGAGGCAGAGTCGGAAAACTCAGGGCAAGCCTCATCCAAAGCAAAGGCAGAGGTCACTGAGGTAGTCAACAAGAAGCTTCTTCATGGCAAGGCGCTGGGTGTGGATGAGATATGCCCTGAGATGCTGAAGGCTCTGGACATTGTAGGCCTGTCTTTTCCAAAAAAAGTGAAAGAGTTTGACCAGCTAGTCTAAATTTGTTTTGTTGACTTAAAGAAGGCTCATGAATGTGTGGGGTTACTGTGGGAGTATGGGGTATGGGGCCTGTTGCTACAAACCATTTGGTCCCATGTAACCAAAGCTGTGTCCTCATTCTCGGCACAAAGTCAAACATGTGTTCAGTGAGTGTTGAACTCTGATCCTGTTTGTGATATATTAATGGACAGGATCTCAAGGTGCAACTGAGGTGAGAAGTGTTTCTGCTTTGGGAACCTCAGAATTGCATCTTTGCTCTTTGCAGATGATGTTGTTCTGTTGGCTTCATCAGAATGTGACCTCCAGTGATCACTGGAACAGTTTGCAGCTGAGTGTGAAGTGGCTGGGATGAGAGTCACCACCTCCAAGTCTGAGGCCACAGTTCTCAGTCAGAAAACGGTGGACTGCTCCCTCTGGGTTGGGGGTGAGTGACAGCCTCAAATGAAGAGGTTCAAGTTTCTGCATTCTTGTTCAAGAGTGAGGGTAAGATGGAGCAGGAGATCAACAGACGGATTGGTGTGGCGTCAGCAGTAATGCGGACATTGTACCGGACCCTTGAGGTGAAGAGGGAGCTGAGCTGGAAGGCAAAGCTCTCAATTTACCAGTCAATTTTTATTCCAACCCTCACCTATAGTCATGAGCTCTGGGTAGTGATCGAAAGAATGAGGTCACGGATGACGGATGCAGAGTGGCTTGGCTCAGCCTTAAAGATAGAGTGAGGAGCTCAGAGTTACTGCTTTCACGTTGAAAGGAGCCAGTTGAAGTGGTTCGGGGCACCTGATAAGGATGCCTCCCAGGCACCCTCCTCTGGAGGTTTTCTGGGCATGTCGAACTGGGAGGAAAAGAAGGATGCATTTGAAGGAACCTTTGAAACAGGAAAGCCTAGTTGCTCTTCAGATGCAGCCTCTGAAGGACGAATTAAAATATTGTACTTGGTACAGCTGCACTTCTTCCACCGTCTCCAGATCCTTCACCACCACAGTGGTGACGTTCCATGACAGTTTCCTTCACCTGAACTGCACCACACTGACCGTTACATCTAGCTTTGCATGTAGCGGGCCCACAAGGTGGTGGCCCCATGTCAGGCCCCATGGTGTGGTGCAAGTGTGGCCATCAGGTGCTCCTCAGCTGACTCTAGGTGGAGGTCCATGTCTCCTAATCCAGGTAGTTTACAGCTCCAGCAGTGCTTTTTATCATCTTGGCTTGATGCCGTTTGAACTACCTTGTTGCCTTCTTTGCTTTGTGGTTGTGTTTTTCTACAAGTTTATGCCCATGTTCATTTATTTTTGTGAAAAAGGATAATAAATCTTATGAATAAGACCAAATGATTTGGAAGGAAGACAACAATGAAGAGTAAAATTCAGAGCTGAGGTGTGTCATGTGAACAAGAGTAAATTCTGATAAAGATAAGGGTCACTTCCCATGCCTGTTGTTTCACCACCAGTGGCTTCCCGCCGCCTGCATTAGTCTAATCCCGCAGGGCTTTAGCCAGCTAGCACAGGGGCTTAGCTGCTCCATGCACGCACAGGCCAAGAGCAACTGGGCCAGGCAGCAGGGGCTGGGGCTGTTTCAGGGGCAGTTTGGGGAGGCTGTTGGGGTACAGGGTGCCTAGCTGCGGCAGACCAGACGTAGATGCAGTTAGACTGGCTGCAGTTCAGCAGAGTCAGCATTCTGGGTTTTTATCAATGGGACAGACAATGGTTGTGTGTTCTGTCTCTGAAAAGCTGTTTTGGCCGACAACCTGGCAACAGGCAGGGTGGACAGGCCCAGTTTTATTCTTCCTCTTCATGAGGAGCAAAGATAGAAAGACGGACAAACAAAGTGAGAGCAGACAAATTTCATGTTATTGGAATATTAAATTTCCTCTTCAGTTTCTTTTGTAAGAAAAAAATTCTGTCATACACTACTAATGTCACTGCTGGTGTACAGAGCACAGGAGGAGAACCCAGACTCAGACCAGGCAGGAACGGTTCAGGATGGCTGGTGTAATGTGAGCAGACTGAGGAGTGGGAGACAGGTGAGGTGGGTGTGGGAGTCAGGACTTTGATGATTAGGGAGGAAGGTCCGAGGACATCTAGTGGGCAGATGGAGAAGTGACAGGAAACAGAATGACAAAAATAAACATGAGTGGTGACAGATGAGAAGGTGGGGGAGGCTGAGTCAGGATCAGACTGGGTGTCAATGGGCAGTGGAGCCAGCTGAGAGGACCACCTGGGATGCAGGCTGGTCTGGTTAAACATGTGGTTGAGGAGCTGTGGAGATTGCAAACCCCAGCTCACAGAGAGCAGGATGTGGAGCAGGACTGGCACAACACTTCCACTTGTAAAAACCTCTTCCTGGCTGAATTCAGGTCCTGCTTTCAGAGGATAGCATCTCCAGGAAGCCTGGGTCTTTATTAAGGGGAGTGGGAGACAGGCCAGGGTGATTAGGGAGGAAGGTCAGATGACATCTAGTGAGTTATAGACTTACACATCCAAAACCTCTGACATCAACTGTACTGAGCTGAGAGTCATCATGTGTTTACACTATAACATTACATCAGAGGAAAACTAGAGGTGATGATGAATGAGATAACAGTCTCTGAGTCTCATGCACTGACACACTAACTTTTATCTTGAGAAAAAGCGGGAAGAGATTAAAGGAGTTCTACACAAGTTTTGCTATTGCTGCATAGCTAATGTTAGCATTAGTAGCTATTGACTTACCATAGAAGAAACATTTGAGTTCAGCATCAGACTTCATTCCTTTACTCACCAACATCTGTCTCCAGAGGTGGAAACAAACACCAATGTTAACTCTTGTCTCTATCAAATCTTTTCTTCTACTGAAGTTAGCATGCTTACCAGCTGGCCCTGGCCCATCTACTGAAGTTAGCATGCTAATCAGCAAGCTCCAGCACATCTACTGAAGTTAGCATGCTAACCAGCAAGATGTGGCCGATCTTGTTGCTTTGTGTCCTGAAGACGTAGTTGCCTGGAGGACATATTATAACCTGCCATACAAAATCCTTAAAACTGAAAGTATTTATTTGTAAGACATCCACCATGGAGGAGGTTGTGACAAAATATATGAAAACACACCCACGTCCCCCTCTGTAACTCTATAGTGTCATTTAAAGACATTAGTTCTTCTTCCTCTTGCAGTTGAAGCTTTTTAAACTCTTTCAGTCTCTGGTCTCTCTCTTTGTCTTCTCTCAATCACAGTCCGACTTTAGGGGAGAGCAGTTGAATTGAGTCAGTTTTCTTTAAAATGGGGACATGACAGCTAAAGTCTCCAGCTATATGTTTCAGGATGTGGTGCATCCCTGGGACACATAACTTTGGATCTGAAATAAACAAATTTCTTCTAAAGAAAAAGTGGTCTCTTGGCTCGACTTGCCCAAGACTTTTTGGCACAAATTATCCCACCCCTGCCATTTTCAAAAACTGCAGTTTAGAGTTAAAAAATAGCTCTAACTGAGGCTAACAGTGTAGCCTCATATTGTAACATGTATGCGTTTTTCAAACTTGTCCGTAATTGTTCACGCAGCACAAGAATCACACAACTCCTTTAACATGAAAAAATGACTGCACTGCTGAAAACAGTTTTATGAAGCTCATCACTTCGTCCGTGGACGTCTCTTCATTACTGAGTGAGTGAAACTGATGTCTCTTCAAAAGTGTGTGGTCACGTGACCAATTTTGTCTATGGTTGCACATTGTCTGACATCATACAGATATAGTAGAGAGGGTCCTATTTAGGTTGTTATGTTAAACTCTTGACTACAGTTTACATGAGGTTCTGTTAATACTCACCTGACAGAGG